CTTATTGGTTCATTGACAGTGCCGCGAAATTTTCATTTGAAATATTCTCATATCATTGGTTAGACGTTCACGCCACCTGGTGTGTCAGCTGCCAACGAACGTTCACGTGCCCATGCCGATCCCCAGCATATTCCTTTTCACCATTCGGTAATCACACCAGGCAGCCGTTCCGCCAAATTACGTGAAATTTTCCGAAACGAAATCCGCGTTAAAAATCGACAGTGCCGCGAGATTTTCATTTGAAATATTCTCATATCATTGTTAGACATTCACGCCACCTGGTGTGTCAGCTGCCAACGAACGTTCACGTGCCCACGCCGCTCCCCAGCATATTCCTTCTCACCATTCGGTAATCACACCAGGCAGCCGTTCCCCCAAATTACGTGAAATTTTCCGAAGCGAAATCCGCGTTAAAAATGCCAATGCAAAGCCATCCATTTACCTCTACTGCGGAAATTCTCAATTTTGAGGCGGGAGACACAGCTGTGTAAGTATTTCTTTAGTCTAATTGTTATTTTGTCTGCAAAACAACATGGAAAAGTACACACCATAACCTCTCAAGTCACATGGCATGGACAAATTCTTTTCATCTGCACTCAAAAATTAATATCAACGACCCCAGTAAATCATGATAGAACAACTAGAAATCCTTTTTTTGTTTGATTCATTTAATTGAATTATCAAAAATTGAAAACTAAAAAAAATTGACATAGAAAGTGTGGGATATCGAGGAATTCATTTTTTTTTTCATCTCACAGGATACTCTCGGGTTACGTCGATAAGATTGATGGGATGAAAACTGTCAGCAATGGAAAAAAAACATTGCTGAAGTTTGTCATAAACAATGGGGACGGAACGAGGATTCGTGTACTGATGTGGGACAATGTCGCCAAGGTCAACTCACCGGAGATTTCCCATCACCGCGTGTTTCTTCATGTTAATAATAATTAGTTGTCCCAACAGAATTTTCATCATCAATAATTATTAATCGAAAACCTTGAACTGTGGGTAAATCATTTCTTTGCCAAAAAAAAATTTCCTCTTCAGAAAATGTATATCACTATGGGTTGCATTACTCCTACAAATGCTTCTTATCATGGGAACGAAGACGTTGTTGATGTGGAGTTCAATGCTCAGGCAGCGAGTACCATCAAATATCTGGGAATTCTCGAAGGAGCTGGAATTATTGTCCCAGAAAATTACCCGGAAGTTGCCATGGAAACTCTCCTTCGTAACCAAGACGCTCCAGTGTCAGTTACTGGGTTCATCAAGAGTCCATTTGTTGAAGTTGTCCATTTCTCGGCTTCTTACGTTGGAGGCAGCATTGTTAATGGTAAACACAGGCTCGCTGTTCAAATTGCCATCTTCAAGGACAAGAAAGAGATCGAGGTTGGAACGTGTGTCAAGCTCATGGGGAAACTGAAGTCCAGGATCATGAAGACCAACAAGTCACATGTCGAGTACTACTTCGAAGTCCCAGACATGAATCACATCGTTGTCATCGAGGGAAAAACAGCTACGGAGGAAGAAATGTCCAAAGCAATTATTTCAGCGACCTCCAAACGCTACTCAACTGGAGATTTACCGGAACCAAAACGTCGCTCGAACGTTCAGGATGCAGAAGAGATTTAGAGAAAGATGTCAATTGAGATGAATAAAATTCAGAGAGAGATCTCTATGGAAAAATGAAACAACACGTACACCCATCGCTAGGTACAAAGGGGTATTATTACTGTTATTTCAACTGAGAGACAATATTTATCATTATTATCACTAATCTTTTCGTAGATTTTTCTCAAATTAAATTTCCTGTGATTTCATTCAGATTGAGAAAAAAAACTTTCAAGAGAACAATCATAATGTAAAAAATAATTTCGTCACGTGAAAGAGTTAACTTTCTAAAAAAATCATTCGAGACTAGAATTTCATTAACTTAAAGATGACTAGACAAAGACTAGATTTATCGATAATTTATTTTTGAAGACTAAAAAACTAGAAAATAACTAGAACAGTATTTCCTTAACCTAAACTTGACTAGGGAAAACTAGAGACGTAAATTAATTGGAAACTCCAATTTGTGATATTCATTCCTGAATAATAATTTAATTTATTGATTAAAATATAACTAATCGTGATATGCAAGAGCCAAATGTATAAAGCATTAATAGAAACAGAGACTCGAATCGTAGATAATTTAGAGCCTAAGAAAAATATTTATTAAAAAAAAATGCTTGCATAATCAATACTTTTAATATGAGAGAAAGACTAATTAAGTTCTCTGAGAAATATGATTGTTACACATCTTGAGTGGAATTGAATTCCCATTTTCTCATACATGGATGGAAAGATTGTTTAAATTCAATCGATTCTTTAAGATAATTGTGCATCTTTTTCAGTTAAAAACTTCAATTTTAAGTGATTCGAGCAAACAGCATGCACTTGAAAAAATATTGTCGATCAACAAACGAAAAAATGATTTAAAAAAAAAATTGTAATAATCCCTGTATCCTCATTGCCATATAAGGTATGTAACGTAATGTTTCTTTGTATTTTCCTCTCGATTGTAAGATGTTTGTATAGAAAATAAAAAGTGATTGTCATAGAACAGAAATAAATAAACTAACATCACTCTTCATTGAATTTGGTACAAAATTTTCTCTTTCTTTTAAAATGAGGGGAAGGAATTACTGCTTACGGAATGAAGGAATTACCGACGGTCGTTCATGTGGCTAGGGGTAGATTTTCATGGAAAGAGCATGAGCGACACGAGACTTCGGGTGCTATGTCAATATAAAGTAGAAGTATTATTGTTTCCCACATTATTAAATAATTATAATCTGGAAACAATTCAGAAATGATATTTTAACGGTTCCGGGAGTTGTGGGACACCAAAAAGCATCGAGTTTCATTCTTCGATCTTGAAATATCAATAATTGATAACCCACAAGGCGATTCGAATGGTCCATTGAATTCCGTAGGAGAAAAAAACCACAGTAAGTAGATTCATTTGCATTTTCTATCTATGATGACTCGAATAAATTACATGAACTTGAATTTTTTTTCCATGACAAATTAGGCCCCTCGAACACAATTTCATGTCTGTACGTAAATGAATACGCCTAACCTCAATTCACATTTCATGTCACCCTCCTTGCATGGAATTCTCTGCTCTTAGATGATAATACCGATGCACAACGAATACAAAACGTGATTCTCTTGCAGGGAAATAACTTTCAGAGTGCTGGAGGTCGATGGGCTAATTCTTTCATTATTCACTCCAGGTGCCAAGAACAAAATCCTGTGCTCTGTTCATACCCTCAACCAATCAATCAAGGTAAGCAGATAATTTCTTCGTGCATTCGAGTGAAATTTTCATTGCAAATGAAATTTTTCTTTACTGAATTCTATTCATTTTCAGATTTCTCGGACTCCTCCCCGAGGTGATTATGAGCATCAAGAACATCGCAGTGATTATTCCACCGAAACATTTACAGATTTCAAGAAAATAGTTTCAAGAGTTTACACATAGAGAATCAGATCCTAGAACTCAAATCCTAGAACTCAAATCCTAGAACTCAGGTCCTAGAACTCAGATCGAGTATAAAATCGGAGCCAGAAATTTGAGAGTCCAAAGATTTTCAACTGTAAAAACAGTCCCGAGTCTTTCAATACAGATACTGAAACATACAGCCAATACAAGAATTCAACTTTCCAGAGATTCCAACCCGAAAACTCAGTTTCAAGTCTTTGAATACAGTTACTGAAACTTCCATCTGATATCACGAAACACTAGATATTGAACGAAACAAAATAGATCTAGATTTACCCACATTGTAATAACAGAATAAAAACTCTGAATATTTGAGTCCAAAGGTTCTATTGATATTCAAGAAAAGAATAAATAATTACTTTTTTTTCTGAAAATAACCCGTTTTAATAATTTCTTCACCTAGAATCAACCACTGTCATTCAATTTCAGCAAACACAATTGATTTATCTAGCCACGAAATTCAATAAATCTGTAGGGAATCACCATTTTCCCTATCAACTAGTAGTATTGAACAATTGTTTTCTTTATTTCGATTGATAAAATGCCCAGAAGAAAGATCCAACGAACACCAGAAGAAGAAGCAGAATTGCAAAGGGTAAGGCGTGAAAAGAATACAGCCCAGCAGAAGTTACGTCGACAAAAACGTCGAGTTGATCAGATGGCCAACCTTCGGGGTCATACAATTGACCTAGGTATTCCTATACAACATTCAGCACAACAGCCAACCATTAACGATTCGGTAGTTTTTTCAGAATGTATTCCCTTACAAGCAACACGCGTGTCAACTGTGTCAGAGATCGTTAATACAAATGTTGAAAATGTAGGTCCCAGGCCAGAAAGAAGTGATATTACTGAACATTATATAGGACTCATCGACATGATTTGTTGTCATTGCAACGCGAAGCATTTTGCATTTGAGCGAACGTCAGGTAAGAAAGATTCATTCCAGAGTTGTTGTGGTCACGGAGCGGTGAGATTAGAATCTTTACCTGAACCACCAGGAATTTTGCGTGAATTATTCGACGGCAATCATGAAAAATCCCATCATTTTCTTCAGCGTATACGTAGTTATAATAATTCTTTTGTATTCGCTTCGTTCAATGCAAATTTGGTGAATTTTGATGAAAGACGCCCTGGACCATATTGTTTTAAAATTAACGGACAAATTTATTACCAGATTAATACGAGTTTGTACCCTTCTGGAAGTGAATGTCCTTCATATGGTCAGCTCTTCATAGTTGATCAAAATGAAGCAACTGATGTTCGATGCAATCAAATGTCAACGTTGGATGCAGAATTGGTAGGTGAAATCGATAGCGCACTTCGGGAATGCAATGACTTCGCACGATCATATCAAATGATGCACGAAGAACTCTTGCAATCTAGACTTAACTCTAGAGAATCAGGAGTGGAACCTGAGATGCAACTATTGTTTTCTTTAAAACGAGGCATGGATCGTGGACGATATAATCTCCAAAAGATTAATGAAGTCGCAGCGATATTCACTACCACTGCGGACGGCGAAATTCCAGAGTCTTATGTTTCAATCCGTGTCAAAGCTACGAAAGAACTCACGTATATCAGCACCATGGATCCCAATGTTGAACCGTGGATTTATCCACTGTTCTATCCCAACGGAACTCGAGGATGGCATGACAAAATGCCATTGACGAATAGGCCTGGACGAGTTACACGCAATGCTTATACAAAGTACAGAATGGCTGACAGAGACGACAATGTGATTCTCAAAGACGGCAGATTATTCCAACAATGGATTGTTGACAGCTACGTAAAAGTTGAGAGAGACCGTTTGACATTTGATAGGAATAATCAAGAAAAGCTACGTTCTGACACGTACCAAGGTTTAAGAGAACATTTACAAAGAAGAGCAGATGAAGCTCATGGTCGAGTAGGAAAAATGGTGATTCTTCCTTCATCATTTGTGGGTTCTCCACGCAATATGATGCAGCACTATCAAGATGCCATGGCAATTGTAAGGAAATTCGGTAAATCAGATCTCTTCATTACGATGACGTGCAATCCGAACTGGCGTGAAATACAAGAAAATTTATTACCCGGTCAAACACCATCTGATCGACCTGATTTAGTTTCACGTGTTTTTCACAGGAAAAAAGATGAGTTGATCAAAAAAACCATCATAAAAGATAAATTGTTCGGTGAAGTGCTTGCATATGTGTATGTCGTTGAATATCAGAAACGAGGTTTACCTCATGTCTATATATTATTAACGTTGAAACAGAATCACAAGATAACTACTCCAGATGTAGTTGATAAAAATATTCCTGCAGAAATTCCAAGTCCAGACGAAGATCCCACGTTACATGAAATCGTAATGAAAGACATGATACACGGTCCATGTGGCAGTTGGTGTAAAAACGAAAAGGGTAAGTGTACGAAACATTTCCCCAACGATTTTCAAGCCAAAACTACCCTAGATGAGAATGGATATCCTACGTATCGTTGCAGAAACACTGGTGTTTATAACCGTGGAAATGGACATACAACTGACAATCAATTTGTAGTTCCCTATAATCCCACTCTATTGAAATTATACAATTGTCATATCAACGTAGAAGTCGTTCCATCTATCCAATCTGTGAAGTATCTATATAAATATGTTTACAAAGGCCATGATGCGGCGGCCGTTGAGATTACCGATCCTGGTAATGGTGAAAATGTGATCGATCATGATGAAATTCGTAATTTCGCGGAGGCTCGATATGTCAGCCCAGTCGAAGCCAGTGATCGTATATTAAGTCATACATTACAAGAAAAAAGTCACGTGCATCTATGTAATCAACATACTCTAACAATTTCCGATGTAGCTGATGATGAAGCTATAAGGTCTGCATTGCAAAAAGAGACAATGTTGATGGATTATTTCGCTTTAAATCAACGAGATCCCGAAGCCAGGAAGTTCACCTATTCAGAAATTCCGTCCCATTACGTGTTCAAGAAAAATCGAGGTTCAGGCATCTCAAGATGGGAGAAACGCAAAACTCAATTCAATGTTATCGGACGAATGTATTCGGTAGCTCCCACTCAAATTGAATTATTTCATCTTCGATTATTATTGATAAAAAGCAAAGGAGCAATTAGTTCTGAGGATTTGAGAACCGTTAATGGACACCTGTGTGATACGTATCACAGTGCCTGCCTAGCATTAGGACTTATCGCAGATGATACACAATGGGAACGAGCAATGACAGAAGGCGAAATATGGATGATGCCTCGACAACTCCGTCGTTTGTACGCTCGAATTTTGATGTATTGTCAGCCAAACCAACCAGAGGAATTATGGTTGAAATTCAAAGATGCCATGTCTCAAGATTTTCAACGAGATGCCGATGTTCAAACAGCTGAAAGAAGAGCGTATGCTGAAATCAATACATTTCTCACTCAAGAAGGTTCGGACTTGAGTCGTTTTCCTACCATGCCTACGATGGAAGAGATGCCAAATAATATTAACGAGCCCATGGATGCAGGAATGCTCCAACAACATACAGAAATTGGTCTTGATCAATATCGAAGATTGAACGTCAAAGAAAAGGAAATTGTGGATAAAATTTTGGATGTAGTCTCTTCGGAGGTAAGAAATTCCTCAAACACATGTTTTTACATTGATGGTCCCGGTGGTTCAGGGAAAACATTTATTTACACCACAATCTATCATATATTGACAGGAAGAGAAAAACAAATTTGCACAATGGCGTTTACAGGTATTGCGGCAATATTACTACCGCATGGGAGAACTGTGCATAAAACTTTTGGTATGCCGGTCCCTCTTTTCTCTGATTCTGTTTCAAACATCAAGAATCAGTCTCAAAACGCTGATTATCTACGAGGAGTTGATGTTTTCATCTGGGATGAAGCTCCAATGGCACCGAGATACGCTTTGGAATTAGTCGATCGAACACTTCGTGACTTTCTGAATGTAAACTTGCCATTCGGAGGAAAAATTATGATTTTGGGCGGTGACTTCAGGCAATTATTACCAGTAAAAACTCACGCTACTCGCTCTGAGATGGTCAATTTATCGATCAAATTCAGTGTGTCGTGGAAACATTTTTCTATGTTTGCACTGACTGAAAATATGCGTACTCTCCCAGGAGAAATTGAGTTCTCCAGATATCTTCTTTCCGTAGGTGATGGATGTTCAACTGATGCCAGCAATAATTTGTTAGCACCAGAACAGTGCATAGCTCCACGAACAGCTGATATAGTTGCATCAACATGCAAAGAACTCATAAAGAAGAGAAAATTCGATGAATTTGCAAATGTCGCAATACTATCTGCACGAAATATTGATGTTGAAGAAATAAACAATCGAGTTATAGAACTCTTCGATAAAACAACGGAAAAGATTTATAACAGCATAGACAGTGTGAAAAACTGTGACAATGGAGATATTTCAGATGCAATACTCCCAGAGTATTTGAATACATTAAATCCACCAGGTTTCCCGCCACATGAGTTGAAACTTAGACACAACTGTATTGTTATGTTCATTCGAAATCTCAGTATCAATGAAGGATTATGTAACGGTACACGGCTACAAATTTTAGGACTCGCAAATAATCTCCTACGATGTCGAATTCTCACGGGCTACAAGGCAGGAGAGATCGTTTTCATTCATCGCATCACTCTCTATTGTGAGGACGTCTATCCTTTTACGTTCCAACGTCGACAGTTCCCTATGAAACTGGCATTCGCGATGACAATCAACAAAAGTCAAGGACAAACATTCGATAAAATTGGGCTCGATCTTCGAAAAGATGTCTTTAATCATGGGCAATTATATGTTGCGTTTTCACGTGTTCGATCTTAGAGGTCACTACAACTCTTCCTTGGTGAACAAAGGACCAACAATATGATAAAAAATTACGTCTTCAAAGAGTTATATCGCTAGAATTGGATATGAGAATTGCAATCATACCTTAAAGTACTTGGACAGTCACTTCCACTTTGTTAAAACTTCGCAATGTACCAAAGACTCAATATTTTCATCATAGTTTCCTGAACGCATTCAGAAACGATTGCCTAAATTCTGGAGGTTCTATCTACACCAATGTTGAGTTACGCGTTATTAATTCAGTTTCCGTGTCTTTTCAACTTTCGTCTATTAATCAAAACTGGATAGGAAATTCTTGAAATTATGGGAATCGCTTTCGAATATGCTCAGGTCTCCGATACATTTCAAAGTGTTCATTAAGTACAAGTCACTATGGAGATACCTCCATCATCATAGTGAGATCAAGTGTCCTCCTAATTCGAACGATTAGTTGTTGTATTTTATTCCATTTATTAACAGAGAGAAAACTCATTTATACATTATTCATAGGATTTTTTTCATAATAGAGTCGTAGACAGTCATTCATTCAGTTCCCGCGCGCTGGGGCGCGCGGTTCGGTCTGGTTATTGAGAAAAAGAACTAAACTTGGTGGTTTTTGGCGTTTTTCATATTTTTAAATCTCGGTTTAGCTGAGAATCCTCAGCGCAGAGTTTTCTTGACTATTTAGTTGCTTTTTATTAACCCCCGACAACTCTTTACAAGTCAAATAGAACGATAATAACTTACCTTTGGAGAAATTGGAGGGTCCATTTCAGCTGTTCTGGGTAAAGACAACAAAGACGAAATAACAGAGGAATATTAGCAGGAAACCTTTTTGGATGTTTGCCGCTTGAACTTCAAAAGCTTCCTCCAACAGAATTGAGTACGAGGCTGTTTCATCGTAAATGGGAGTTCCTGGAAAATGATGCATATGTGTTATAGGAGTTTGTAGATCAACGGAATAAATTATCATCTTTCAAATCAATAACTGCCGTTCGGAACCCCAGATAACCTAAAGTTATATTTTGTTGATAGCGGTTGATAGTAAGTGGTTTGATATTAATACCTCGTATGATTAGAGTCGGGGCTGCAATTGGTATTTTGGCAATAACCCCCTCCAGAGTAAGGGTACTCTATGAACAAAATAGAAGGAACCATTATCATATGTGACTATAACTATAATTATAAATTGTAACCGGACATGTACTGTCGCCAGGTGTTTTTTACCGATAAACACCAAGGTCAGATGCGATAATTGATCGGTACAATTTTTTTGATAGGGGACGGTCAGGCAAAATGGACCAGGCGGGTAAAACGGACCGTGAGACAAGGCGGACCCCTAGGGCAAAAGGGATCGAAATTTTTTTTCATTTTTTTTTTCAATTTTTTTTCGAAATAATGAGTTAAATTGTAAAATCATTCTTCCAGTTTCCGATGAATATCCTCAAATGCAGAGGAGATAGCGGAATTGTAGTATAAACCTTTTCTCTAGAGCAGAATAAGAGCAACAAAAAAGGTCTTCGGAAAAATTTTGCTATCTCCCTTCAATTTCGAGATATTTCCAAAAAACTGGATTACTCCAAAAAATAATTCAAGATTTCTCTTGATTAGTCAATTAATCAATCTAATAATTTCAATTGTCAATCAGATTATGAATCAAATCTCTTTAGATCTTTCTTGTATTCTGATGAGTTTTACAAATATTGAATTCTGACAATGAGCAAAATTAGTTGACGCTTTGTCATACGAAGAGCAAGAGCGGTTAGAATGTACTCCATATCATCCTAATCCACAACTCAGCTATGAGTACTGCGCAATTCAACGTTTTCCACACTTCTGCACCTTTCAACTATTTTTCATTCCATTTGAATGAATATTTTTTCATTATTTCCACGTTGTCTCCTCTAAGTTGTTTCCCTAGGCTGTGGCCCGGAGCACTGCTTGGTGCAATACAAGTTACAACAGCTGGCGCCCACTGTTGTTGCTGTGCACTGGCAGCACTCCTGTCTATTTGAATTAGAATATCAATCTCCATACTAGAAGTCGACATTATTAATGAAATAAATATTAACAATGAAAACAAATGTGGGAATCTGATAAATTCTATAAAAATGGTTAGTGATTACATAAGAATTTTAAACAGACAGTCATGGCATGAGGTGGCAAAGGCCAAAGCAATTATAGACATTATTGCAAAAGTTGGAGGGTATAAGATAATTGCTGAAAGATATGGGGTACCTGAGACAACTCTCAAAACTAGGGTTGCCAAGTACCGGTTGAACCCAGATCTTCAACTAGAAGTTACGAAAGGTAAGAATCACCATTTTTTAATTCATCCACGGGATAAACATTGGACGGATAAATTTTCTATGAAGAATTATCTGTCATTTAATTTATTCCGAATTTTGTTTCCTTTACTGGTTTGATGAATACTAATTTTTCATTTTCTTCGAAATTCAGGGTTAGGGCGATTTAGGTCTACATTCATAGAAACATAGGCATTGGAGATTTGTAATTATGCGCTGAAGATGGAGAGGAATCTCCATGGTTTCACAACCAAGAGTCTAGGGAGACTTGCGTATGATCTAGCAGAGAAAAATGGAATTTCCCTTAGATTTGTCCATGGTTTAGCTGGCCCAGTCTGGCGTCGAAGGTTCATGAAGCAACACCCCCAACTATCGCTACGCAAACTTCAACCTGCGTCTCAAGCCAGAGCTCGAGCGTTCACCAGAGAAAAGTGTGCCCCTTTCCCAAAGCACCACCCTCTGATTATTACTAGGAAAAATAAAAAACAAGTGGGGATTCTAGCAGCAGCTGAAAGAGGACAATTGGTGACGGTGAAAGTTTGTATTTGTGCAGATGGACGTTGTATGCCACCGATGTTCGTATTCCCCCAGTCCAGGCGTGGATATCGGGATGCTCTGAGCCTGGGATTGCCACCAGGCAGTTGCCTGGAATTCAGTGCAAAAGGCTGGATGGTGACTGACGTGGTTTTCACCTGGTTAAAGAATTCGTGAATTTTTCTGGAGCTTCCCTAGCAAATCCTGTCGTATTGATCCTGGATGGTGCTACTGTTCACACTCACAATCTACCAGTCCTCGATTATGCTACTGAACATGGGGTGATTATCATTACCCTCCCTCCTCATACTACTCATCACCTACAACCACGTAGTATATATGAGACCATTGTCAATTGCATATGGCAATGCTGTCGAGTGGTAACCCACTGTGAACTACCAGCATTATTGGGCCAGGCTTTTGAAGCAGTTGCCATCAGTTCATCAGCAAAAAATGGATTTAGGCAGAATGGAATTTGACCATTCAATAAAAATCATTTCACTGATGCAGACTTTGCCCCAGCTGAATTGTTAAATAATGTTGATCAGGCTCTAAATCGACCAGTACAGGCTCCAATGTTATCAGAACGAAGGGAGAGTACTGATGACTCGGATCAGTCATTGAGTGGTGATGATCTTGTTGAGGATCCCAGCACAAGTATCCCCGGTAGGGCTGAAAGAGGTAAAGCCACTTCATGCATCAGCAATCAGAACTCAGACACTCTGTAGGATTTAGAAGATGACGATCGTCTCAGGAAGCCTACAAATGCTACTGGTGGTCAGAAAAGAGTGGGGGGATATCACATTGAAACTAAGAAGAAGCGACGAAGAATCATTGTATATTCCGATTCGGAAAGTTCTAATGAGGATGCAATGGAGGAGTCGACATCATCCAAACAACTGGGAAATGAATTATTGATGGAGAATTCTCCATCCCGGGGATTCCAAGCTCATGCCGACCACGATCAAAATGTTGACGAAGATGACATATTACCAATTCCTGATACGGACATCCCAGCCCGGCTCAGTCAGGGTTTAGGACAACTCGTCTTCGAAGACTCCAACGACGACGAGGTCCGACACTCCCCCCAACCTTCCACGTCAAGTAATGATGACACTCCAATATTCAATTAACACTTCACGTCAAAAGAACTGTCAATTGACTTCATTCAATTAACAGTTCTTTTAATATTAATCCAACAGGATAATTAATTAATACAATTTTTATATTGACTTTTGTTTAGCAACGATTATTTCGCACACAGATATATTTCTCATTGATATCCAAATGAGATTTTATTGAATTGTGGACTTTGGGATTTTCTGGGGGGATTCGGGCAGAGTAACCCCCTATCCAGGAGTGAAGCTGATCATTTCTTGTCTTTGGGGTTTTTATATGTTTCTCGATATTTGATTGACGTTTTTCCTCCTCCATATTTCAATAGTTAAAATGTCAATCAAATTTTGATGGATCTGCTCATCAAAGTTTGAGTGATTTCAAAATGGCGGCATAAAGTTACTAGGTCGGTAAGGAAGTTACCAAGTCTGTGTACCTAAGATAATGTGTGACAAAATTTTGAATTAATTTATTTATCGGTAAATTTCTTCAACTTTTCGTGAACATTTTCAAACTTGAAATTATCAATAAATCTCTTGAGGGTATAGATTTCAGCAGGAGGGAAAAGCTGAAAGCCTTCGCTAGGATCGGCGAAATGGAATTCTTTCTGTGGGATCTTCCATTGGGTTTTCTTCCCAAAAATCAATGAAATCCTCGATGCCTTAAAGCAATAATATCTCGGTTACAAAATGTAATGTCTATAATGACTTGCAATATAGCCAATTCTTTTTATAGGAAATTACTTGAAGAGAAAATGACGATAGTACCCTTTTTATGACTACGATGATAATTCTTCCTATGCTTTTTATTAACTTGACTTTAGTGTAGGAAATACCTGTTCTCTTATCTACGTCGCTGAGGATATATTACAAGAATGAAATGAAATGAATGTTATAATTGACACGGGCCTTTTATAATTGGGAATATTTAATAAAATAGTGAATAATTAAATTCGGCAGAAGGCCTTCACTCGACGCGGCCTGGGTCAAGGGTTGTCGAAGGTCAAGCGTTTTCTTGTAATCTTGAACTCGACACAAATTATATTATTGGGCGCTAATTGGTTTAACGATAACCAACAATGGAAAAGGCTCAACTCAGGGAGTGGAAAAGTTGGAAGGACCCAGAAATTATTTTAATAAACCGAGAGAGAGAGAGAGAGAGAGAGAGAGAGAGAGAGAGAGAGAGAGAGAGAGA